TGTGATGTGATCAGTCACACGGAGGCTGGGCTTAATTTTGTCAATTTTGCCTGAAACTCTCAGACTGAAGAAGTCTCTTGAAGAGACGAAACGTTTCATTAGAGAAGAACCCGTCCAGAAGACCTATACAATTTTTTTCTTTCTGTTACAATGAACATACATTAGATATAGAAGTCCTTATGAACAGACATGGTGTGTTTCAATCATTCTGATACCATAATTGGCCCTAACAGCATTTATAAATTGTTTTAATGCACAGGAACCTTCCTTGAGTTTCTCACCTTTGACTTCTACYTAATATTTATCCAGCTCTTTCCACTTAAACTGTTCCACTAAAATATCCAGTASAGCGTAGAAGAGGACGTTAAAAACTCTCTGTGAGAAGTTCATCTTGTCTGTCAGTTTACTCATAGCAGCTGGGACAAAGGAAGGTGGAGCAGGRAMCTGACCACATTTTCTTTCCCAGTGATGAGCAAAAGAAAAGCGCAAAGAAAAAATCAGAGGGATCCCCAGAATATCTGCAGTTAATTCACTTCCAGGGTAGATGGGATCAGCCATGAGCAAATCATAGTTTCCTTCCTTCAGCTTCTTCATGATGGTTTCTGATTTCACCACACCGTCCAAAAGTTTAAACAAAACTGAGTGTTTCTTTTTACTAATTCTTTAAATCTGATGTAAATTTGAACATTGTTAAATTGATCTAGGTCATGGATGGCAAAGTGAAGGAACTCTTCAAAGAACTTTGACAAGTTCTCTACAGAGACAGAAACAGTAAAAGGTTCGTACTGAAAGCCAGAGGGTTCACTGCTTTTCATGAACAACGACGTGATCTGGACCAGGACCGTCACCTGGTGTCCTCTGTCCACCAGTGTCTCCAGGACRGGCTTCATGTTGATCCAGTGGCTGTGCTCGGTGTACCACACCAGAATCTTTCCTCCAGTCACACTCCCTGTTACACAAAGAACCAGCAGGACGCAGACAGASAGACGAGGCTCCATGATGGCTGTTTGTCTGCTGAGAATTCATCTGCAGTGTTTTAAAGCTGCACCTTAAAAATACTTATTAACTACAGGAACTCTGACTCGATCCTCTTCTGAATGAGTAACACGATAACAGAGAAGCTGAAGGTAACATCTACAACAATTTTTTAAAAACACACATCTCTAACTTACAGGAAACTAATAAAGTCAAAGCAAAGATTCACCCTGATGTTTTACTTTTAGTTCAGAGGTGGTTCACAGTGGAGGGCACAGTTCCACTAAAGCACCAAAACACTAACAGGGGAACTAATTTCCTGATTAGTGTTTTAGGGCTTTTGCTTATTTTAGAATTTATTAGTGGATTAGCACTTGGTAAATTTATAGGCTAATTTTAGAAGCACTAACTGAGGCCTTTAAATGTTATTGATCAATGTTAATGTTAACAGCTGAGGATGAAAGCTGTCATTCATTTTGTTCATATGTGTGTCACTTATCCACTAGGTGACATATTAACAGTATATGAACCCAAATACAGCTGAGGAATGTCAATGATAAGTCTTAAGAGATCAACATTGCAACATGTGACTCATGTCTGTTGAAGAATGCTCCATGGGTCAGCTGGGTTATTTTAGTGCTTTAGAATTAGCTTTTYCTAAAATTTTCAATGTGTTAGTGCTTTAGAATTAGGGGACTTAAATATTTGAGTTAGTGTTTTAGGGTTAGTGGAACTAATTTTTAGATTAGTGCTGCCCACCACTGGTGGTTAAGTATAGTATCGATAGTGCCGAAATCACATTTTGAAGCTCATTTATTGATATTCTTTGTTAGCAGTAACATATCTTTCATCTGTTATTTGTGATGCTAAGATTGCTCTTGAATCACATCTTTGAGTTTACCGCTGTGATACTGTATATCTCCCTGCACATATCTCACCAGTTGCTTTAGTTCTTTGTTGTTATCTTCACTTGTAGCTGTCACTGACATGCCTGCYCAACTGACAATCCCTACTGCCTCAGCAGTTCTTCAATAAACAGCAAATATTTCCTATTAATACTCATAGCTGCCAAGACTTTATGTAACGATGCGGGTCCAGAATAGAGAACAGCTTTCAGAAACCAGCTCAGGTCAGAGGGGTCCATTCTTTGTGAAGGTTCAGGTGGTGGGTGTTGTGGACCAAGCCTTCAGCAATCAGTGTTTTCTTCTGCATTGTCACTTGCAATTGTTTGAGTTGTCRACGCTTTACCTCTGGACTCTTTATCTCCTTCATTAACATTGTAGATTACTTTTAATGCTGGATTCAGGGGTGTCCGAGAAAAACAATAAGCATTTGAATATTGGGTTTAATCCCCGTTGATGGAGTCAGAGGCCTTTCAGGGCGTACAATGAAAACTGGTTTTGTCAGACCTCCCCTGGTGTTGCGTCGGATATTATATACATAAAACTATATATGTTTAAAATCTTTTATATTGAGATTACTGTTTATACCACCTCATTTATATTAAATCCCTTTTATTTATCATGAAAACATTCCATTTTATGAATTATTTTCTAAGAGTTGTAAAAAAAAACCAAGACTGTGATACAGACCACATGTTATGTTCAACCAAATATGTCATTATGACTGTCAGGGGGGTAGATCAGCTCATTCTTTCAAGAATCAATCAGTCTTCTTGAGAAATGTCACCTCTGGCTGTTTGGGGTCTAAGCTTTATTTCTGGGCACTTTGTCCCCCTCATTAACATTGTAGATTCCCTTTGACGCTGGATTCAGGAGTGGCTGGAAAAACAATGAGCATTTGAATATTGGATTCAGTCTCTGTTGAGGGAGCCAGCGGTAGGAGTGTTTCCATTCTTAGACCTCCGCTGGTGATGAAGAGGATGTGGGCCAGAAGAGAAAAAGAGCAAAATCTTTGATTTTTACAGTTGAAATCTTTGAGCCTCTGTTTTTGTTTCCCTTCTTTTATATTTGATTTTGTCAGAAATGTACCGTTCACCYTTTACTCTACATTCCTGCTGCTTCCTCCGCTGCCTTGCAGTGTCTCCCAGCACTTGGTGAGGGTTACAGAGTGTTGCTTTTTGAAGTAGACATTTGCATAATCAGATTAGGATGTGTGATTGTCTGTGCGCCCCCCCTCTCCATCAGAGGGTGCTCCAGAGGAGAGAGGGTGCTGTCCAGCCCAACAATGGAGGACTCCCCTCCTCTGTCACCATCCAACCAGCCCTGCACCTGCATCCTACACTCCCACGTCGCAGGTCGATTACTGCGCGAGTTTAGGCCCGGACCTCTGCAGCAAGAAGGAGGGGAGGGGGCTGGAGCGCTGCGATGGGAGTGGAAGGGCAGGGGGGGTTGAGCTGAGATATTTAAACATGCAGAGGACGAATTGGCTTTGAGGGGATAAAGAGCTCAGGGCCTATCGGCTGGCACCCAACTCCAGAAATTCTCTTTTACGGGCGCCTCAGCCGGGAGAGCGAGGGGCTGCCTGCACTGATCTGGTCCATTGTGATAACGGATTCAGACAGTGTGCTAGACGCTGATAAGGAAATGTGCTCTCAATAGACGATTACCCGCATGCTTGGAACAAAATAGTCAATCAGGAAAACACACTCTGCGGTGGGAGTGAGAGGCATACAGATTTGTTTTTATTTTGAATGCAGTTTTTCCTAATTCAGCAGGAAACACAAGTTAAAGTAATGCTCGAACATGATTGGGTGGTGTTGGTAAACAAAGTGTGAAACAACCTGACAGCAAATACACAGGAGCTGTCACTTCTGTTTTARCCAGTTTAAATAGATTTTTTACATTCAACTTAGAAAGAAGTGCAGCTTTGTGCCCCGTGTTACTACCCAAATGTTCCAGTGTACATATCTACTTTTGAAGTTARTATAAAATACTGAATTTACCTCAAAATTACAAAGTAAATGCCCCCTAAATTCAAGCTGTAGGAGMGTCAGACTGCTGCTGTACTGCAGTAATAATTCTCCCAGTAAAACATGATATTTTGTTCAATATTTTTAGGATTACAAAGAGTCACCTGTCAGTTCCCACAGCTGCCCTCTGCTTCGTTTGCACACTTTCAGTTTAACAGCCGCAGTTAAAGCATTCAGAACAAATGCAGTGTTTACTCTTCGGCTCAGTTGGATGCAGCTTTTAGCCTGAAACAAACGGGACACATTTTCTACGAACACAATAAGCTTTTAAGCATTTAAATACCTGACCTCAGTTTAAATGGTTGCCAAACAAAGACAGCTGTTAAACTGCTGCCATAAGTTTGTTACTGATATCCTTTTATATAATTACTTAAATTAGAAGACTTGTTCTTCAGTTTTTATTATTGATGCTGTAAGATTTTTAAATAAAAATAAGATTTTATAATGTTAAGTTTTTGTTTAACATCATTGATYGTTTGATTGTTGACTTAACTCTTATTTTTACGAGATGTAATTTTAATTCCAGCTGCGCAGAACGCTGCATTCAGCAAAAAGAAGTGACTTTTTTCCCCCCATCAAAGACATCTCTTTGCACATTGGTCAACTGGACAGTGTTTGGCTCCAGGGCGACCTCTGACCTCAGGGGTTGCAAGTTAAGCGGTTGCATTGCGCCCTCGTCTCTCAGGCGTGTGGTCAGAGGTCGGCTTTGTGTCCATCAGAGGAGCACAGAGAGCAAACATCCCATTTAGGCACAAAGAGACGTCAGTTCTGCTTTTACTTCAGTTAGCATTTGTTGCCTAATATGAAACTACAAGTGCTTCTGTACTTCAAATTGACATAGAATTTCCTGGTTTTTTTTTCTTTTTTCTTTTAGGAAACAGGATATTCTTTTACGCAACATGTTCTTAGCTTATAAGTTATTACTTTTTTGTGTGTTTCTGGAGCTCATCCCTGAAG